GTGGTGGGACCAAGATTGTTCAGCAGCTTGTAGGAGAAGAAAAGAGGCTGAATTAATATACTCCCATTCTATGACTACAGAGAATTATATCTCCTATAAAAAAATTGCTGCAGAAACCTTAAAATTACTGTCAGATAAAAAGCGAACTGGTTGGTTTAAATTCTGTGAGTCACTGTCACCTAGGACTCCCCAATCTTTGGTCTGGAGAAATGTTAAAAAATATCGCTGTGCAGTTTCTAGTGAAAATATAATTTCTAATGATCCTTCCCCGTGGATAGATGAATTCTCTAATAAAATTGCACCACAAGCAGTCCCATCTTATGATGAATGCCTAGTTTTTAATTCTGCTTTTTTAAAAATAAATGATAAATTTGATTCCCCCCTTTTCTTATCAGGAATTGTTTACTGTACTCAATGGCCTTAAAGACTCCTCACCAGGTATTGATGGGATTCCTTATTTGTTTATAATTAATAGTAGTGAGAACACTAAAACTGTCTTACTATCCATTTTAAATTTTATTTATATTACTGGTGATCCTCCTGCTGAATGGAAAACCCAAATTATTTTGCCCATTCTCAAACCAGGTAAGTCTAGTAATGACCCTTCCAGTTACCGACCTATTGCTCTTTCTTCTACTTTGGCAAAAATCTTGGAACATTTAATAAAAAATCGTTTGGAGTGGTTTTTGGAAAGGAATAATCTCTTACCTAAAAGCCAATTCGGTTTCCGAAAAGCTTTAAGTACCATGGATAGCCTTAGTACTTTGGTCACAGATATTCATATTGCTTTTTCAAAACATGAATTTCTCATAGGAGTTTTCTTGGATATTTCTTCTGCATATGATAATGTGCTTCTTCCTGTGCTCAGGCAGAAAATGCTTAATCTGAGCATTCCAGTGAGGATAGTCAATTACGTCTCTAACTTTCTCTCTTCTAGATCAATATCTATAAATGTTAAAAATCTCCTGCTTCCCCCAAAAACTATATGGAAAGGACTTCCACAAGGCTCAGTTCTTAGTCCTCTCCTTTATTCTATATATACTCACGATTTAGAACTTTCAGTAAATTCTTTTTGTAATGTTCTTCAATATGCAGACGATTTAGCTCTATACATCTCCTTAAACAACTTCACAGTGGCATGTTCCCGTCTAAACTCATCCATGGATTATTTACAAGAATGGTTAACTAATCATGGCCTCTCTTTATCTGTGGCCAAGAGTAGTGTGGTGATCTTTTCCCGCCAAAGGCGAGTTCCCGATATATCTGTTGTATATGATAAGCAACCTATTCCAGTTAGAGGCAATGTTAAATTTTTGGGAGTTATCCTTGATTCAAAATTGGCCTTCGGTCCATACATTGAATATATAACACAAAAATGCGAAAAAAACATAAATATTCTTCGGTCTTTGTCTGGTGTTTGGTGGGGGTCCCATCCTTTTTCTCAGAAATTACTGTAAAATGCTTTAATACGAAGCACCTTGACTATGGATGTTTTCTGTTGGAGCCTTGCAATAAATCATCCCTGAAAGTAATGGACAAAATTCAATCGAAATGCCTTTGCATTATTACAATGAAATCCTCACCAATAAATGTTCTTCAGATTGAGTGCGTAGATCCTCCTTTAAGATTAAGAAGGCAATACCTTTCAGACAGATTCTTATTTAAGATCTGCCAGCTTTCAGATCATCCCCTTTTTTTTTTTTTTTTTTTTTTGCATGGGGAAATGCCTACGCATACCCGCCTCGCGGGGGGCAAGGACGGGTTATGTCGGACTCGCACCGACTAAAACCCCATGGTGTTCCACCTTTGTCGCATATTGGCAGGGCTACGGGAACGCTTTCGCACACATCCGCGGCCCTACTAGCGCCTGCCGCCCCATGGCAGCACCTCCTCGGGAGAGGAAAATTCCTCCCCGTTCTCCTTCCCAGGTAAGGCGCACCAGAACACATGGCGCGCCTTCCTCCACGGCCTCCAATTACGTCTGTGTAACAGACGCCCCCGCGTCCGATGCATAAAGGCCATGGGGCCAGGAAAAACGAGCACTTAGAAGTACTAGCCTTCCCGACCCCAGCGGCGGTCTGGTCTATGGCTCCGCCGCCAACCAAGATTCGGCTGCGGAGGGTAGGGAGAGCGGCGCCTCGCAATACCGACAATCCTCTCCCCCCGCAGCCCCATCACCACCGCATCAACGGTGCGGCCCCGTTTGAGTCGCGAAGGATAGAGCCCCCCCGCCACGACAAGGCGGGAACCCGTTCGGGGGGGTTCAGATCATCCCCTAATTCCTAAATTGCATCTGCTTTCAGAGTATATCTCATCTGACCGATACTGGACCCATAAGGACTCTCCCTGCTTGTTTAAAAGTTTTGTAATTTTTCTTCAGCTTCCTTACCCAATCTTTCAATGTAAAATAAATCCACTCTTTGATGTTCCTTACGAGGCTATTGTTTACCAACCCGACATTCATCTAGATCTAGGTATAGAAATGGATTCTCCAGTGGAAAATTTGAAATTAAAAGAAATTATAGAAAACACCTTTAAAGATTGGCTAGTCATGTACACAGACGCTTCAAAACAGTCTGATGAAGACTATAGTGGAGCTGCTGTTTGGATTCCTAAGTTCAAAATCATTCTTAACTTTAAATGCCCCTCTCTATCCTCCACTTTTACCGGTGAAGCAACTGCAATCAGTGAAGCTTTGTTATATGTAGAGTCACATAATCTTAATAAAACAGTTATTTTCACAGATTCAAAAAGTTGTTTGTTAGCTATTTTGTCCGATCAATTCCATAACAAACATAAATTTCCACTAATTCTTAAAATAAAAAATACCCTATTCAGATGCCATCTTAAAGGAATCCATGTTTCAGTGGCCTGGATTCCAGGCCACAGTGGTATCCATGGTAACGAAACAGCAGATGTACTCGCTAAAAATGCAATTGCTAATGGCATTCTACAAAATTTTATTTACTCACATGACCTAATTTTGCTAGCTAAAAGGAAACTGAATGAAAATTGGAATAAATTATGGGAAGTTTCCAAAAATGTTAAAGATAAGCACTATGCTGCCATCCAAGAGGTTATTCCTCCCAAGCCTTGGTTCTTTAAATTTAACAAAGCAAATAAACATGCAACTTCAATCATTTGTAGATTAAGAATTGGACACGCTTGTACACATGCACATCTGGCAAAAATAAGAGTAAGGGATAGCTCATTGTGTGAATGGCTTAGATGAAGGTTCCACAAACCATATTTTTTTCAACTGTCCCAAATTATCCTCCTCCCTTTATGATTACCTTCCTCCTTATATTCCTCGACCTATAGATTTTAATTCTCTTTTAACATATACCAGTACTCCTCTCGTGTATACTTTATGTGATTTTATTAATACTAATAATATGAAACTTTAAATCCTTGTCACTTTTAACATACTGGTAAGAGTCCAGCACCTGTGTTTGTCATATTTGTTCTAGGTAATTCAACAAATAGATTTGTCAAAATTCTCGGAGGAGAACTGAATCCTTGTATTATCACAGACTCTTATTTTAATTAAACTCATAAGCTTTCATTTTCCACTCGATACGTCATTGACGAATTTTATCAAACCGCCACAAAAGAAAGAAGAAGAAGAAGTAGAGTGGGCCCTATTTTGTTTTGATTAGTTTACATATTATTAATTAAAATGAGTGGCAGATCTAATATTTGGCCCAATTTTAGAGAAACTGACGACTGTAATGTAATGTTTCTTTGTTTGATTCTCAACAAAATTTTATCAAGCTTTCTATTTGCTATAATTGGAAATAAATCTAAAGTGCCTCAAAAACATAATGCTATACAAGTAGATTTAACCCATAAATATAAATGCTTTCAACAGTAAAATTATGAAAGACATGGCATTACTCCATTCGTACATTTCCATACAGTGCATAATTTGAGTAGCACTTTAACGAATATTCGGTGATTTAGCCGAATATTCGGTAAACCTGCCGAATACCGGATATAAAACGAATATTCGGCCCACCTATACATATTATACAAATTATATTTTTGCTAGGTTTTTACTTTTTATAGACATTATCATTTATGTTTTTATACATTTTAATATTATGTTACACTCAAATAACTATTTTTGTACATGTTCAATAATATACTTTTAAACTTGTTATTGATTTTATTAAATTTAATAAACTAATTGTTTGTATTTTGATTTTAAAGTTGGGTTTTAGGTTGGAGTTAGTTTTAGTTCTAGTTTAGAGAGTTATTTTTCAGGCTTTCTTTTTTCTTCATATTATTACTTTATAATTTAACAATACAATATATATTCAATAATACATTATATTTAGATAAGTATGATATTTTCTTATCGAAATATAACATATCATTGTTGAATGATTATGTTGATTGCAATAGTTTCTTTAACTCTACATTTTTCTGTTACGTTTATTCAGATTCTTCCTCCTATTGCTATAGTTTTGTTAACAATGCTCGGATTGTTTGTTTCTTTCGTCAGTACCATTATTATCATTACAGCCAATTAAAAGTTCATTACTGACTATTGGCCTCCCCATAGGTTACTTCATAGGAAGGGATATTTGCAATAGTTCCACACTTGGGAGGTGGTTTAACAACTGTAGTTGTATCATCCTGTTCACAATGCTCACAGGATGATGTATTTTTTTAGGCCACCTCTGAACGGTGATTAGAAATGGGAGGTGGTTTTTGCTCAGCATTGGTACATAAATATGCTGTTATTTTACTTGTTTTTAATATGAAACTTAAGAGTATGGGTCATGAACTTTGTAAGCCTTGAGTTCTCCCATTAAGTATAATGGGAGAACTCAAGGCTTACAAAGTTGCATAGTAATGCAAACAAAAAACAGTTTGGACTATTCACTGAAATGTTAAGTAATGTCAGAATTATTTTGGTTTTAAAATAAACTTCTGCAATAGAAAATAAGGTTTGCATTTATATAACATTCCTAATTAAAATATGCACTCAACAGGCGATGGCAACAAACAGGAGCGGAGCGGCACAAAGGCCAAATGGAGCTCCACAGACCAAGGTGTGCCAGTTCAAACTGGTACTTCTGGGCGAGTCAGCAGTGGGCAAGTCGTCGCTAGTCCTGCGCTTTGTGAAGGGCCAGTTCCACGAATACCAGGAGAGTACGATCGGCGCCGCGTTCCTCACGCAGACTGTTTGCCTTGATGACATCACTGTTAAATTTGAGATTTGGGATACAGCGGGACAGGAGAGGTAAACTTTTCTTTGCATGTTTTCCTAAAAATGTTTTTTACATTGCAAAAAAAAAAAACAAATCTAGTTTTTAATGTGAAGGAATCCTTTAGTATTCATTTAGTAAACATGACCATCATAAAGTAGAAGGGCAAAATTTTTTTAGACTGACTAAACAGGTTCTTACTATGAAAATTTTTACCATGATGTTTTAAATCAGTATGCTTGTTAAAATGACCATTTCCACCCCATATAACATAACTGGTGGGACAAAGATTTTTCATTCTTACCAGACGCATATGCTTTTGTTCCCATGCTGTACATATCATATGCAAGTGGGATCCAGAGTTCCAGTTTCTTCCACATTACTGGAAGCTTTTGACAATTACTTCACATTCAAAAATGTACACAAATTATCTGTGAAGCCAGGACTTCAACTTGACTAACACTCAATATACTTAAACAATCTTTTGTATTCATTCTAAGCTATTATATAAAACACCTCCACAATACAGAAAATAATCTTAGTGCTAACCTAGCTTAAGACTGAAAAGTTACCATATCTTTAAAAAATAAAAAAGCAAGACAAAGTTTTATTACCCTGGATTTATTCAGTGAGCATTTTGTATATTAAGTGGATATTTGGATTGCAAGAAATTTGAAAATAGGTTTTAACAAACTATTACTGTCATGCTGTGCTCTGAGGACCGAGTTAGACCTCCGAGACAGAGAGAATTGCAGTTAGTACAGAAATAAACTACTATCAGTAGTTTCTATTTAAAAAAATGCACAAATTTAGTATAAAGGCTATTATAACATTACTAATATTTTCTTTGATTACTCCTAGTAAGCTTAAATTGCTTGTGGACTTCCTTATTGTTCTAGTGGATGTAAATGCATTTGCAGATCAAAGGTCCTGGATTTGAATCCTGGGTCGGGCCAAAATCAGTTATTGAGATTTTCTATTAAAAATAGTGATAATATGTTTCACTATACACTATAATCCTGTCCTGCGCAGATGGCAAGTCAAGTCTTCTTAGAGACTGGCTGCCGTGACCGAAACTCAGTCCGGAGGACATTAAAATGCTTGTGTTCCAGATGGTTCATGCTAGTAGTCGGATGGCAGATTCAATCACATGACCTTTTGAGTTCGGGGACCTTACCTTGCCTGTAGCCTAATCTACTGGTGCTTAAACATAAAACCATTATTTTTAAATTCCTATTTAAAAACCACCTAAATATTTGTACTGTATGAACATTTAATAGTCAAAGTAAATGCTTATATGTTAAGATAAAGTAGGTCACATTCCTAAATATTAGAAACAGTGTTGAAAAGTAGATTAGGGTGTTAAAAGTACTTACACATAGGTAGGATTAGAAGAGGACCAGATTCCCTATATTATCTTAATTAAGAATGATCTCAAGAATTGTGACAGTTGCATTATTTTCAGTAGGTACATTCTATTTTAAGTCTTTCATGAAAACAATTGAGTATTATTGTACATACTTTCTTTATAACTTATTAATACTACCTAACATAACATGCTTAATTTGGGATTTCACTAGATATAAAATTGTCCGAGTTTTATCGAATGCGGATTTTTATCGGATGCGCATGAAATTATTTGCAGATGTCATCGGAATATCCGTAAATTAGGGGAAAGATCTGTCGGTCTCAGTGGCGAAGCTAGGTCTCCAAAGTAGAGCAAGCCCAAGATATGGTTTTGTTGTTTTTAGCAGTTCTATAATACACAAATCTTGATCTGTCCCCTCTCTTCAGTTTTCTATTCAGTGCTGTCAAGGACGTGTTTGACAAAGTACACAGAAGGCATACTACCGCTAGATAGATTGTATAACATATGCAATTGCATACCTTCAGTGGCTTTGAAAAGAGCCGTTTGGGGTTGCTTGAGCGAAAGTAAAAGATATTTACATAAAATACAATACATGAACAAAAGAAAAGCATGAACTAAGTACAAAGTATGTACAAAATTAAAAAAAAATGTTTAAGTTATATGCATAGAAGAACAGATTACGACAGGAATTAGATATTGTATAATGAAAACAACCAATTTTTACTATAAAATAATGACTGTTTATTATATAATTATTCATTTTCAATTTTAATAAACCGTAAAAAATGATATTTTTAACTCATATGTTAATATAAATAATATTTTTTTTATTATTAAAAAGAATATAAACAATGCTATAAACATTACTAATATTCCCCTTAACCACTCGCGGTAAGCTTAAATTGCTTGTGTTACGAGTGGTTCACGCCAGTAGTCGAATGACGGATTCGAACCCACGACGTCGCTTTTAATTATTAAATTAGCCGATAGCGTGTTTGTGCCATCTAGCGTAATCTTTACGTACCACCGTGAGAATCAATTAATTTTCGTTCGATAAAATTACTTCATCTATAGAATTAAGTAGATGGCGCTATTAAAATTTTATATACTGAAGGACTAAAGGAAATATTCTTTAAAAACCTCAATACATGTTATGTACATGTATTGTGGTTTTTAAAGAATATTCTTTTGATTTACTACATTAAAATTTAGGCTTCACATTAAAAAAGATTGTAACAATTATTTGCTTTAAAATTAAACTGATAACTAGGTATCTCATATTTTATGCTGCCGTTCAAAATATATTTTTTTTTCAAATTCATTTTTAGCTCATATCTTAATAAATTACGTGCCACGTTGTTTGTCCGCGATGGACTCCTAAACTACTTAACCGATTTTAATCAATGCACACCGTGTGCAGTTTGGTCCAACTTGAGAGATAGGATAGTTTTTTTGCCCAAGAATGCGAATTTTAGGAATTTTAATAGGACATGACAGAGGGTCGCCGAAAAGGGCAGAACAACGTCTGCCTGGCAAGCTAGTGGTAATATAAGTATTGAATTATTAAACCTTTAAATATGCCTAGCTTATTAAACCTTAATACTAAAGAGCCCTGTACCTATTAAAGTATGAAGAAATGTTTATTGAATTAAAATTTCATTTTTAAAAATTTTACCTTTTCCTTGCCGATTAGCACTTTAACACACTTATATTTATCATAAGGAACAATATTATCCTCCCATTTTCACTAAAAATCTTTGAAAAAGCATAAATTTTCAACAGGCACAACAAAAACAAACATAAACATTGAAATGTGAAGTGAAACTTGCAAACGTATCGCCCGCACTAAACAACTTCGGGGCAAAGCCCAGGTTTGGTAGTTAAACATTTCGTAGTTATATTTCACTATAGAAAATTTTGCTACAGGTTAGAAAGGGAGCGATAGTTTTCTCGAAAGGCCGTTAAAAGCCAACGCGTGCGAGAGAGACGAATAAATCAACTCCTTAGTTTTGACCGTCCATTGCGTGTTCGCTTTGAGACAGAGAGAACACGAATTAGTGTATATCGAATTGAAAGCAAACTGCCAAGTGTTGACATTACATATATGCTACAAGGTCATGACCTGTGTAGAATAGAGGAACGCGTGGGAAATTTGAAATAGTTTGAACAGTTTACGAGTTATTTTATTAGTTGATATTATTGATTGAGCAGTTTGATAGGGCAAGCCCGGCTTCTGGGCTTCTATGGAGGCTTCGCCACCGGTCGGTCTATCGGTTGGTGTTGACCATAGATATAATAATGAAGGAGATATGCGCAGTAGTTGAAAATGTATCGGAACCCGGTGTCTCCAGTTGGCCCCTACCACGCGCCAACTACTACACAAACAGATCAGTAAAAGCAATAGATACGCAGTCACGCATACACTCGCATTTAATAAATCATAACGTACTACACAATTAATTATAAACCATATCTCTAAAACCACAACGTCCATTTACCCGTATTCATCGTATTACTTACTCACACAAAAATATCGGGCACTATCGTTGTGCTGTAAAAACCATTTATCTTACATATACGTTAGTGATTGACTAAATTGGAAAGTTATCGATTGTTTAATTAAAACCAAAATTGTACTAAAATTTTTTGGGCCCTAAATATAAAATAAATAAAAACAGTAAAAAATTCGGTTATGTTGGTTTAGGCTAACATAGCGGATTGAAGTAGTAGGTATTTTGGAACCATGCTATGGTGCTGACTCACTGACCTGTAAAGTGAAGGTATTTGTGCAGCACTTGACTTTTTGTCAAATAGTGTAATCTTAAATTAATGTATTTTTCCATGACCGCTTTTATAAGAAATATAATGTGATTGTTCATCGGTGACTGCTCAAATTGGTGAAACTTAACATTAAAAAAAATTGACAAAGCCTTTGCCATGAGTTTCTGTTTGAAATTTTTAGTTTTAATTGCTTTTTTATCATTAGCGAGACAAGATGTTTTTATGATAATTTTAAATGGCATACAATTTACGACGACCAGTACTAGTTTATGTAGAGAACGAAGTCAGGTGGCCTTTCAGTAGCATCAATCCATTCCTTTTTTAAATTAGCATCATTTGGCAAGCCGAAAGGTACGATTAATAACCTATTTATTATTTTAATATATCCTAAGCTACTTTTTAACCTCGCCATGTACTAAGCAGGTTTTGCTTGGCGATTTTTTTGTTATAAAAACTCCTGGTTAGTGATAATATTGTTAAATATATTACAACAAATTAACAAATATACACTCATGTCATTAAATAGAAGAATAATTATATGAATATTTTAGCAAAGTTACTATATGACCATGCCGGTTAGGTAGTTATGATACATTCGAAGCTTTTGAAAACTGTAAATTGTATTAAACCCTAAAACCATAACAATTATAAAAAAAATCGAAGATGAGGCATAATATACGATAATTCAAACATAACAACACTCCATCGATTATTAACCTAAAATTTAGTCAACTTACTTTACGACCTATGGTTACGCATTCAGCGTAGTAGTTGCAATGATATCAAAAGGAAGGATAGGCCCATCAAAATATTTTACTCATAAGCGCATCTGTCATAATACAAACTTCATATCAAAACACGACGTAACCAGGGTTGAATTTCGTAATATAATTATCCTAATTGTACCATTATTTCATAGTTTGTAGTATATAGTATCGTACTAATACTTTGCGAAAATACCATAATTTCACCTAAAGGTCGACTTGAATTATTATTGGGTCCTTTTACATTTTAATATTAACCCTACGATGTCGAGTATTTCTGTATTGTACATGAGTACCGCGTTTTTCTAAATAAAATTAGGATTAGCTCCCTTTCTGGTCAATCGATGCTCGATCGATGCATTCATGTTGCATCCTTGATACAACTATAAATAGGGGCTACCACGATAAAAACTCTATGCTCCAGAAGCAATCGGTTTGAAAACAGAATTTCAAAATATTTTGTGAATCAGATTTTCAGATTCAATTAAGCAGATATTGTTTATTTTGTACTCTGTTCGTTTTACCTTTATTGAATATAAATATATATTAGGTACCAATATTCAAAATTAAACTACACTAAGTTCTTTAGAGAAAAATTAAACAGATATAAAAATAAAACTGTCAAAAAACGAAATGTATAGATAAACCAGACGCATGACGCCAAAATCCCGGCACATGGGAAAAATCATAGATAAATAAATATGTAGCAAGCTACAGATACGACAGCGACTTTTAGTCAAGTTTCCCAACTACGCCTTTTGGCGCTGCAGTCGCCCAATTTGACAGATGAGTAATGACGTCATGACTATACAATTTAGTATAGCTTAGGGATTGCAAGCACACAGCCTTCTAATTATCGATATCGATGTTTAGTGGTGTTCTTATTTTGTCGATATCGACATAAGTGCATTATACAGGAATAATAATACTTAATGAAACAATTATAATACATCTAACTTATTTATTTTTTATTCAAGCACACCAACATCATATACATACAAACGTAATCTTAGGATTAAATTAAAGGCACATTAAGTCATATATACAAATTAGAAAATTGTACATAACATTTTACATAAATAAGTACAATTTGACGAAACAGAGCAATATTTACAGTTCATTAAATAAAGCAAATTAAACCGCAGGAATCATATTTAAGTGCTTAATATTTTACTTTCAAGTCATTTTTTATTAGAAGCAATGCTATTTATTTTTCATTAGGGGTAAACCTGGGAATTCTTTTACAAAAATTAAAAAACATCTTCTCTTCTTTAATTTCATTTTCTACACCACGTAACCTGAAAAGAAATAAATAAAAATAAAGTTCAATATTCATATTTTATGACTTAATGATAATCATAAATTGTATATTATTTATATTAAGGTAACAAAGGGTGGCATCATGGCAGTTGCCATTTTTTATTGGTCAACCCATGGTGTGGTGAAAATAAAGTGGTAGATGCAGTAAATAAGAAATAAAAAACATATAGATTAACACTGTATACATCCATTATCAGGAGATTTCTCAATGTCTTCAGGCACGGAGTTCCAAATAAGTGTAACCTTAATACTAAAGGAGTTGTTGATAAAACCATTGAAGTGTAGTGGAACTGTAATCTTTAGATTTGATGAAGAACAAAGAACTCTTACCGTGATTTGAGGATAATATGCTGAATATAGATATAATAGATATGTTGAAACTTACTTAATGTCTAAGAATAAACTGAATTTATCATACCTTTTTGCCAATGTGTACATTTTGTATCTTCTGTCAACATTTGTCTCACCACATCAGCATTAGATTTCTGTTTCTGAAAACCAACAATATTTGTGAATTTTGTTCTTATACATAAACCCAAAATTAAAGAATAAATATATAATGTATACTTCTGTATTGTATGTATTAATGCTGTATGGCTACTGTTAACGACAGTTTAGTATAATCATAATTCAAAAGTGATCTATATTATCATATAACTTAATTTTTAGAATTTTATTTCACCACCGTCATCATTACAGCGCTTCACAAGTCCACTGCTGAATGTAGGCTTCCCCCAAGAAATGCCACAAATCACGGTCCTAAGCCACCAGCATATACAGGTCGTCACTTCATCAACATTTTATTTACTTAAACATGTTTTTCTTAACCTAAAACTTTTATACTTCTTTAAGGCCAATTTTTGGGGTTCACCCATTTTAGATACATATTTTTCATCGATATCACCCTTCAATATTTTATTATTTATGTTGCACCAATTGTGTCCATGTAATCTAATTAAAATATTGACGAAAAAGTTTTTGACAATTAAGGCATGCTTATCACACCCTAGGCAGGACAAACTTAAAGTGCTCAATAAATTTCTTTTCAAATTACTTTTTATATTACTTCCAATACAGCTATAATTCAAATAGTTATGAATAAAGTGAGTGCCATCCCTGTACAAGATAAGGAATTTTTCGTTAGGGTATGCCAAATTATTATTTTTTAACAATTTATACTCTCTAAATTTAATGTAAGAGTGAATGTTTGTCTCCGTACTGCTAATATATGTTTTGATGCAATCCTTACAACGAATCGCTTTCGTTATTTTCCGACAAATGTATCCAGCAGTGTAAGCTGAGCAGTGGACTTTAATTTTTTCCATGACTACATCATTCACTAGCAATTTTTCTCCTGAACTTGCTTGTGAAGAAGATGGGAGATCTCGCAAAACACTGGTAGTGTTTTCCGAGTCATTTTCTTTATTATTATGAAGGTTTTTAAAAAGAACACTAACATTTAATAATGTTTCTCCATTATCCTCTTCACAATTAGAGAATTTGGAATGTGGACTAAGCATGTTAGATAATATCAAAGATTTAAAGGCATATATAAATGTGTTTGCATCTGGGTTAACATTTCTATAATTTACAGCTCTTATACGTCCAAAAAAATTCTCTAATGGGTCTTGATTAATATTCCTCGGATAATAATATTCTACATTATACTGTTCAAATAATAATTTGGAGACCCTTATAAAACTTTCAAGAGTTGTAACCCATCCTTGTTGGGATGGCACTCGCACAAGTCGAGGTTTTCCTGCTTTTGTAGCATGTTTGCTACTGGTGTCCACAAAAACCATTTTTTTTTATTTTATTAATGGCCTCAATCCAAAAAGTGTGATGTTGTGAATTTTGTTTAACCGCTCGTCTTAACTTTCCTCTTTGCACACCACCCGGGTAGCCATTGACGCTGTCAAACAGTGTGTCAAAGAATTCAACAACTTCTGCTGTTGTGGCCATTGTTGCGTCAGAGTTTGCAGTATGAAAATAATCTGAAAAAAAAAAGTACTTCTTAATTTAATTTCTTTTACAGTTGGACCTGCAAATCTTTAGCCAAGACACTTCTTATTTGGTTACAACAACAGACTTTTTTAACCATTTTTTTACAAATTGATTTTTTTACATGAAATTTTACAATGGTATATACATAAATTGAATAAGCCTACAAATCAATATAGCAATCGTTACTTACTGAGTGCATTTGTATATTTGAGCATAGCAGCAGTTCGAGCACTAAATACTTGAGCAGCTATGCTGACCTTCATTTTTTTGATCTTTTTGCGATCAACATGATGAGCTGTTAACTTTGGTAGTGCCCTTGTGTGTCCCAATTTGCTATCCAAATCAAAAATGAACTCAATATCTTTCCAAGAGGCGGTTTTTTCTTCCCAAATTATATCTTTATTTAAAAAATTATTTCTTAAACCCTTTAAGAGATGAGGTGGGTCAAAAAATATGCTTAAATCGTGATCAGCAATATTAACTGATCCATCTGTAAAATAATTAAAATAAATAATATTTGTCATGAAGTAGAACTGGTTTTTAAGTAATTAAGAATGGTACACACCATCATGAACACCTTGAATATTCCGCCTACGAATTGTATCTTCCCTAAGTCTTCTTATTGCTGTTCGAAATGTGGACCCTTGATCACAAACAAGACCTAAAGGTATTAACCCAGTTTGTATTACTTGGGGCACAATCTGCTTTAAAATGCATTGCAGCTCTGCTGCTGATACTGTGCCTTCACAGAAATAAAATGCTGCACTCTGTCTCCATGGAGAGCATATTCCTCTTAGCATAAAAACTAAAGCATGATCACAATATTTTAGTTTTCTCTCTCCAGCTATATCTACAAACCCATTAATTATATCATCTTTCTCATTAAAAGTTAAATGTGGTGTCAGAGAGACTTCATCAAAAACTATTGTGCATAGCTTTTGTTTAGTGTCCCATTTTTTTTTTGTTGTATTTGATATATGTTCAAATATTAATGGATTGAGTCCTGCTTGTATTGAAACCTTCTCAGAAAGTCTATTTAATGTCCGTTTACTAGGCAAGGCAAACATTCTTTCTAATAGTTTATAACTTTTGGGGCTTTGTTTCATTATGAGCAATGCCATTAATTTTTCATCTAAGGTAAACCTTCTGGCCATTTTGCTTTTATGAATTTGTTTTAATTGCATAAACAAGAAAGTCTGAGCTTGTTTGTTTAACAAATAAAAGTTTTCCAAAAGGTCTTTATTTCTTGACAGGGATTGGGCTTGATCAAGTCGTTGTGATACTGAGTCACTTAAACTTTCAGTTGCAATATTAGTCAAAAATTTAACCAATTTTCTTTTCCTTGATACTATTTTCTTCGCCATGTAACCTGAAGTGAAATAAATAAAATAATTAATTTCTATATTCATATTTTATGACTGAATGATACACTTAAAATTATTAATTTTTTATTTATACATTTTTATTTTAATCTTTTAATGTATTCACTTTGATAAGATAACAAATAAAGTGGATGTCATCAGAGGAAGAGTTCCAGAAAAATGTAACCTTAACAGTAAAGGACTTGTTGATAAAACCATTGAAGTGTAGTGGAACTGTAATATTGGGATTAGGTGAAGAACAAAAAACTCTTATTGTGATTTGAGGTAGATATTGAAACTTTTTCTAATTATGTCTAAGAATAAACTGAATTTATCATACCTGTTTGCTTTTTTGTACATGTGCTACCTTTTGGCATCATTTGTTTCACCACATTAGTATTAGAATCAATTCCTGAAAAGAAGCAATAGTTATGAATGTTATGGTCTTAAACATAAATTAAATTTACAATGTATGCTTCTCTGTATTGTATGTCTAAATTAAATACACGTAACCATCCTCTAGAACTCATGCAGTTCCAGGTATGCAGTGACAACTCCAGTCCACAGCCTGTTTTTAAGCATTTAAAGTATTTTTTCTATTACCCGATATATAAGTACTTCTTTTAATTTGATCCCTACATAAATGTATAAAAAATTATGCCCAATAAAATTTCACATACCTTTATTTTCTACAACTGTTGCAACAGTTGAAAAATTTGAACATGAAGGCTGTTCATGAGAACCTACAACATCTGAAATTTGTTACAAGTTTGCATTTTTATAGATGTCAGTATGCTTACGCAAACATATTATTAGAAAATAAATGTCTAAGAATAAACTGAATTTATCATACCTGTTTGCTTTTTTGTACATGTGCTACCTTTTGGCATCATTTGTTTCACCACATTAGCATTAGAATCAATTCCTGAAAAGAAGCAATAGTTATGAATGTTATGGTCTTAAACATAAATTAAATTTACAATGTATGCTTCTCTGTATTGTATGTCTAAATTAAATACACATAACCATCCTCTAGAACTGATGCAGTTCCAGGTATGCAGTGACACCTCCAGTTCACAGCCTGTTTTTAAGCATTTAAAGTATTTTTTCTATTACCTGATATATAAGTACTTCTTTTAATTTGATCCCTACATAAATGTATAAAAAATTATGTCCAATACAATTTCCCATACCTTTATTTTCAACAACTGTTGCAACAGTTGAAAAATTTGAACATGAAGGCTGTTCATGAGAATTTCCAACATCTGAAATTTGTTACAAGATTGCATTTTTATAGATGTCAGTATGATTAGGCAAACACATTATTAGAAAATGAATGGTTAGTAAATTTATGAAATAGTTAGAAAGCTTTTTTTGCTACTTAGTAACTAGTGCTACATGAATATTAGTACACACCTGACGATCCAATCTCTACCGATGATTTGGAACAATCATTTTGCTCTTTGTAGTAATTGTGTTCAATCGTAACATCACTTCCTGAAAACATTATTCAAAATGTTGAAAAATTTGCCACTGACTGTAATTTAAATAAAATATTTTTAGAAATCAGTGTTCATCATAATATGTTTACTATGATTTACAATTAACATCAATTAAGATATTTGTACATACCAGGCTTTCTAACCACTAACACAGCTTCTGTGAAATCATCTTCATTTTGCTCTTTACAGTAATTATGTTCAGTTGTGACATCCCATCCTGAAAAAATTACACTATCATAGCAAATAATGATGTAGAGTCAATGACACTTACAAATGGTCGTACTTTTATCTTGTTAATACTTGGGCCCAAGAATGTATAGAGACGTCTCCTTCTCTTTTAAGTACCATGGTTGAAAGTAATAAAATAACTCACCAGTTGCAGTCAGAGGCACACCATGAGCTATTTCATTGTCAGTAAGCAAGGACGGGTAAGAGTATCGAAGTCTTCTGCCTTCATTGCCGAACTGAAATACATCAAAATGTTTTTCACAGACACGTTTGTTAAGTAACTGTTCTTTGGAAAGTACAATGAGCTGGGGATTTGTCGGCACTATGAAAGCCATCCACAAGTTCCTTAAATTATCGTTCCTAGGGAATCTGAAAAGCCGGTGCGTTTCACGTGTTGTATTGCAACCACCAACACAACACTTTTCGTATACCATTATGATGATATATGCAATATTCACACGAGCAGCACAAAAACAGAATATTGTAATAATTGAGAAAAATTTAGATAAATAATGGCGGCAAATCGTCAATATCGATAGTTTTGACAATATGATTTGACATTAATAGAATATGGCGTCTCAAAATGGCGTCCGTAGGCAGAGTAAAAATTGCGACGGTAGCGCCAAGTTGCGTAGAATGGAACTAAGCTGTCACGGGCCTGGGAAAAATAAACATGAAACGTCAAACATGATATAATTTTTTTAAATAAGGGTCTGAATCCAACCCTGGCCTAAACTTGGTAACGTGACTAAACTAACCGTAAAATAAAACTTTAATAATGCGTTTATATAATAATTTAATTGTAACAAAATTAATATTATAAGGTTATTTACCGATGATACGATATCCCATGTGTTTTTTAAATCTTTGTATCGTAATTTTTGCATTCTTTTACCACGCAACTAGACATATTTATGACAGAAAAATCTGTCCTGCGCGCGCACCACTGTTGACCGATTCGCTTTGGCCCTAAACTGTAATTTTAGGGCCAGCGCACTGGTCCGTTTTAGATGTTCGGTCGACCCGGTACTTACGCTAGTAATATATGTCAATGAGTAGTTTCTGTAAAATAATCAAAATAAGTAAAAAACATTATGTCACATCGGTCTTCCTATCGGGTTGAAACGGTTGCCAAATTGGAGAATAAACTATAATAGCAATTCGCAAATCCACATTATTGTCGATAGTGGATCTGCACACGCACATTACTAGCTCGTCGCAAGATACAGCGGCCGTACTAGGAAATATATCCGCATAAATAAAGTATTGTTTTGTGATATTTACATTGCTTGTTGAGATCACTTGGCGTCATACTTAGGTAGTGGTTATGGAGCAATGTATTTACTACAAAAATATTACAGTGGCTGTGATATTTGGAAACAAAAATAACGTAGTAAGAAGAAAGAAATATTTTACGATTTGTTGTTTAATATGATTTTAAAGATAAATATAATGAAACTTTAAAAACTTGTACTTAGGTATGGTATGTGATTCCATGATTAACAAAGTTTTTGTTTTGGCTTCGGTTTTTACAAGAAACCGCTGAACAACATGGCATTCTGATAATATTTCACGATGACGGTCGCAAGCGCACTAATTCGTAGAGACGGCCATTTGTATATAAGCTGAGCATTTTGATCATAGCGCGCGGACACAGACACGCCCCCTGGCCACTTCTGCTGTTTTTAATATTTCTGTGGGTAGTGGATATTCTTACACTGTTACTACACGGCATAAGCTGCTTTTAATGAATCGAGTATACGCGGTAGAGCCATGCTGCAGCTATATCTCTCACGCTCTCACAGAATACCAGTGTAAAATTGCAGTTTAATACTGCTATGTTTCGTATGGTGAATGTGGAGATCCGGAGACCCTTTTTTACTGGAAACGAGGCATTTCACCTTAGTCCTCAGGGGTGACAACGCATCTGCGTTTTGATGCTTAATCGGGGATAAATTTAGATGTCTATGGGCCACAGCATCCACTTATCACCAGATGGACTGTGTGCTCGTTTGTCACCCTTGTTCTATAAAACAAAAACATGCGTGCACGCGACGGACGCGAAACCAACAAAAATGAAATGAAATATAAAATACAAATACTTTAAATGATTTATTTAATATTATAATTTAAACTACAAGTTCGGCATAAAATATAAGAAAATTTAATTTTATAGTAAATAAATGTAACAATCGTTTTAATATATATAGGTATATTAGACCCAGATATTATATTACTCTTTTCGATATACCTTATATAGTACTCACTAATTAAAAAGATTTATATCAATTTTACCTATTACGAAGTTGAGGTTTGGACGTTCTTCACTGTCTGTTTAATCTATAGGCATACGACACCTTCGTACGGTTTCAGTGGCGTTTACGACTTTTTTCTCGCGAGCATTGAGCTATAATCTATAATGCTTCCTATCTCATTTTCACCCACATTAAAACTTATGAATTTATGTATCTGTCTCTTTTTACTGTCACTTTTCGTTTCACAGACTTTCAAACCAGAACGATGCTATATAAGTTTTCACTTCAAAAGTAGTAGCGGTGTAGGAATATCCGCTACCAAATATCGTCCTGTGAGTTTCGTAAGAGGCGACAAAGTGTAACAAACCATCTGATAGCAGCATTGTTTTAATAACTACAAAAATAAAAAAAATTGCGCGCCTGCTAAGCGTGATAACTATGGCAAATGTCCCCTTTATGTGGTTGTCTATGGTGGAGACCTATTGATACGCTGTGTTATAACTTAAAAGAGAAATCAAGATTTATAATGGAAAAGATCATCGTCCAATTGCCGTGTGCTGTTTGCGTAAAAGAGTATACTTTCGTCTTATGAGTGTCATAAGAGTTGGCTGTTGGAATTCACACATACTTTAGCTGTTTATTTCTACCATACTGGTATCTAATGATACATAATTGTAGCTTCGTAGGAAAACCCACCTATTGTTTGTATTTTTTATAGTTAACTTATTCATATATTCACATGAATATAATATAGAATAGTGCAGCTGCATTCTTTGTATGTTTTAACTGGTAGCCTTGCAGTAATACTTACTGGTTGCTGTGGTTATGCCACACATTAACTCTTGAGTTTGTGTTATAGTTATTCTATTTCACGATGAAGTTTTGACTTTGGTAGTTATAAGCCGTTCACGTACACATTGTGTTAGTGTGCGTAGGCCTCTGGAGCGCTCAGACACGACCGCGAGTCGAACGGATCGCAGTTATACACACAAACGCGCCTGTCGGTACACGTCACTACTACAATCAAGGCGAAACCTTCATCGTGAAATAGAATAACTATAAAATAAATATCCCTATGAATAAAAAGGTTTTTTATAGTATAAGGGTGGCAAACGAGCAAACAGTCCACCTGACGGTAAGTGGTTACTGACTCTTAGACATCTACATCTATCACTGGTTACTGCCCACGGACACCTGCCACCAACACTTCAAATAAAGAACGCTACTTATTATTCATTGTCATCTCGGAAAACGATTGTCAAACAACCTTAGTAATTATACTGGTTCTCTTACCCTTCAGACCGAATTTTCTTCTAGGTAGAAAAAGAATTACCACTTAGTCACTAGGTTATAAGTTATAAGTCTGCAATGTAGGAATATTATTTCTTAAGTGTTATTATTTTCCTGGTGGTAGGACTCGTCGAAGCTGTAAAAAGTCGCAGTTAACTTTCTGATATCTTTAAAAGAAACCGTTATCATATGTTTCATTGCTGGGAATGATTCTCTCATTTCTGAGAGAGTGAGAAGGGTATAGTCCGCCCCGCGATCTTTTTAAGTTTTATAGTTTCTCGGGCATGCAGGTTTTCTCATCCATAGTTTCCTTTACCGTTTTTACGTAGTAAGTCACGAATGGGTCGGCTCGACCGGGGTAGGACCATGCTCTCGCAGAATACCTGCGTAAAATAGCAGCTTAAGGTTGCTGTGTTTCATATGGTGAGGTACACCTACCTGAGTACCGTTTTACTGGGAATCGAGGCATTTCATTTTAGTCCTCAGGGGTGACAACGCATCTGCATTTTTATTCTTTATCGAGGATAAAGGTAGATGTCTATGTTCCGCAGCATCCGCTTACTATTATGCAGACTGTGTGCTCGTTTGTCAATCTTACTCTATTAAAGAAAGTCCAGATATTGTACTATTTAATCTTGCTTCAAGGGGTTTCCAAATTCATTGCATGAGAGAGTCATGAATTATGCATTACATACATATTAATGACACATGTCACTAATATCATATCGATTGTTGCAGGTATCACAGCTTAGCGCCGATGTACTACCGGGGCGCGCAAGCTGCGATCGTCGTCTATGACATAACCAATCAGGTGAGCCTACACCACACCGACCTCGACCTTGCATTCACTTATGACGCTTGTTTTGATGTATAATACGAAGAAACGACAACTGTTTACATTCCTAGTTCAGCTGCTGGTAGCTCTGCAAAGTTTAATTTGTATAAATTATGGTATTTGTATTATAAAAATGATGATAATTCAGATTTAACTACCATGAACAAATTGGATGTTACCTTACAAAATGGCCATTTTGTAGGCGTCCACAGCTTCTTCAGGTGATGAAAATCTCTGTCCACGCAATTTATTCTTTATTTTAGGGAAAGTATAGAAATCATTAGGGCTTAGGTCGGGGCTGTACGGCGGATGGTCTAATAATTCTATGTTTTCTTGCTTTAAAAACTCTTTTGTTCTGTGTGCGGTGTGAGAACTCGCATTGTCGGCATGGAGGATGATGCGGCGGTTGCATTTCTCTTTACGGAGTTCAGAAACCTGTGGCAAATAAATGCTAGCATACCATTCAGCATTAACCGTTCTTTGTCCCTCAAGAGGAATAGTCGTAATATGGCCGGTTTTGGAGACAAACGTGGCCACCATTTTTTTTGCAACACTCCGTGAACGATCATTTTTTGTTGGCTTTATCTTATTTTCGAACACCCAAACTCGTGACTGGTTTTTTGTTTCGGGTTCGTACGCGTATATCCAGGATTCGTCACCTGATACGATGTTGTATACAGCATTTGAGGATCCTGCGTGGAATCTTTCGAGAGTTCTGACGCTCCAACGCATAACGCGAGCCGCTTTTTGCTCTTCACAGAGGGAATGCGGTATCCATCGGGAAAACAACTTTTTTACACCTAATTGTTCATGCAAAATTATTTGTATTTGACTCATGCCGATGTCTAAAGTTGCCCGAATTTCTCGGTATGTCACATGTCGATCTTCCTCAATCAGCTTACGCACAGCATCAACGTTTTCTTGGGTGACTGCAGTTTTTGGACGACCTTGACGGGGATCATCACTGAGCTTGACACGTCCACGTTGAAATTCAGCAAACCAGCGATAAATTGTGGTTTTGGATGGGGCTTCATCACCAAATGCAGAAATCACCCGGTCAACACACTGTTTTTGTGTTAAACACGTTTTTCTTGAATTTTCTCGAGTCAATTCCATTTTCTCAACGACTAAATAAGTTTGACAAAACCTTGTGACAAGACGGATAATCTTTTTTTTAAATAAATAAATGGTATTCGATTTTTAAAACCAAGGAGTTTTCAATTAAAAAGATTTTAATATGACGGGAACAGTGGAAATATTCCATTCCCGATACTTTTAGTGCAGCCTAGTACTTGTATAGCGTTATGTTTTTGAGGTACTGTTGATTTATTTCCAATTATAGCAAATAGAAAGCTTTATAAAATGTTTTTGGAATCAAACCAAGAAATATTACATTCCAAAAAAAAAACATTCGAGGTTGTGTCTAGAGTAACGTTAAGCTCGAGGATATGGTCAGATGCAGCGTAGGAGACATGGGTTCACAATCACATATATATATTGTGTTAAGCAATATGATTATGTAATGGCGGCCTACTACAAGCATTTTGAGCTAACCTAGTAATGTTAATTATTATGTTAATTATCATTGTGTATATATTGTGTAATTAGTAATGTAAACCATTTCACTGTCCCGTGAGTCATATACTCATATATGAACATTTCGATTGTTTAAATATTGAGTCTTTCTCGGACAGGGAAGTTGTAGTTGTGTAGTTCTTTATTTACTTACTACTTTCTCTGACACAATCATAGTCGTAATCGTAGTTCCTTTGGGGTGGGCTATGTTCGACAATGTCGACTTGTGAAGGGCTGTAATGATGATGTTGATAAAATTATGTGGCCTTACTCATAAAAATGTTTGTGAATTAGAGAAATGCTTAGTGTTGCTCTCTCTCTCTCCTTTTCATTAAATGCCAGTAAAAAGAGACGGATTCAGCGATAATACGTATTAAGTACTATTTAAGTAAGCAGTAATCAGAGATTGTTACTTACTTATGTGGTTTTAAAACGTTATGTTTTAAAATGTTGGGCTTTTTGCGTTAAATAGAAATACAGTTTTTAAAACAAATAGGATTAGTTCCATATCGTAACTGAAGCATGTTCCATAATTAATAGTACACACAAATTATAAGCTCATTAGCCACTTATGAGTATATTACTTCCTTCGATTTGTACAATAGGGTATTAAAAATGTTAAAGCATATTCATTCATTCTTATGTATGTACAATAAATAGTATACATACTGGATAACCTTTTTTTAACGTCTGTATAAAAATGGGATGTAACATGTGAACGGAGTAGAATCCTATGGCACTGATATTTTACAAAAAATAAAAACAAAAATTTTGAATTAAATGTTTGAAAGTTTTTTTTGAACAATTACATTGTCCTTTGCCCTTGAGCCTTTGACCCTGCGAAGTGAGAACTGTGAGAAGGTCAAAGATGCCTACTAAATTTATTGTTTTATTGCCGTATGTAAAGTAGGGTGGATATGAGTTGAAGTTCGATAGATTTCAATTATTTTATTAATTTAATTCAAAATTTTTGTTTTTATTTTTTGTAAAATATCAGTGCCATAGGCTTCTACTCCGTTCACATATTACATCCAATTTTTTCCCGACAGTAAAAAAGGTCATCCAGTATATAAAGTGATGTGTTACCAAAACACTCCGTTCACATATTACATTCAATTTTTTCTCGACAGTAAAAAAGGTCATCCAGTATATAAAGTGATGTGTTACCAAAAATTTGATTCTATTCCATTTGTCAGATCACTGTTACATATAAAATAAGTTGCTATAAATTGATTCCTATTTCTTACACTATTCTTATCGTACAAGGTAACAAAATACGAAACGGAGAAATTCGTTCGAAAGATTATTCTCGTTATCAAATTTGGTGAAAGAATAATGAGCTGATCAAGGTAGATCAGCTGCCACAAGTTGTGTAATTAATACTGCTATTAAGAAAATTGTTTAAAAGCTGTTGCTACTTAATAACAAAGTACTAGTTAATGTTTTCAGCAATAATATAAATGGCTTTAACTCCAAAGAAATATAAAATGCGTGTAACAGTAACCGAATTGTAGATTCGAAGTCACGACGTTTTAGTTTCGTAATCTGTGCGCTTGTGGCAGCCACAAGTAAAACACACCGAAGCGTAAATCACGCTATCGATATTCCGAAGTATGCGGTATATATATAGAATACCTCTGAACGAATATAAGGAGCGTTGGCCGCATCCCAGGCTGGAACCTTGCCCGCCGGGAGATCACCCCATTTATCTTTCCTTCCACGGGAAAACCCTGGCCCTGTTATGTAGTGGCCGCACTATTTCGTCCCGTGGGTATCGTAAAGGCTGGCTCTATGGGAAAATATGATATAAATGCCACAAAATATTATGACGTCTAATCGATGGCGTAATACCATCCCGTTTACGCCAAAGGTAATATATCAATACAATATAAATTTATCAGAATGTCCAGCTTTGAACTTTTGTCTGCGCTTAAGAGGATATAGTAACTCTGCTCAAATTCTAATTTCGCTCCCACTTCCCCGCGCATCGTATGTTATGTACCGACGTGTTTTGTAATCACTAATACTGTAAGTAAATAGGTCGTTAGATACTTATTTCAATCAGTTTGACATATTAATGCCTGTTTCTTTACGTCAACCCAGTCGCTTCTTATTTTTATTACGGTTATTTTCCATTTTAATTTTACGTCGTCCTGTTGCGTAATGTGTATTCTGATCGTAAGTGACGCAGCTTCCCCGTTCAAAGGCCGAAGCGAGACTAACCGGGCGGCAGGAAACAAGCTTCAAGATGCCAATAGTATAGGTAATTTCTTTTTACAGTGGAAATAATGGTAATTGAAAAAGAAAAACATAAGCTCTGCTTTATAGTTAGTTCAGTTATTATGCAAAGTTTCATGATTTAATTTAAAGTATTTTATGAATAACAGCGGTTTATTGTTCAGTTTGGAGGTAACTTTGGTTTTTTTTTCTATCGAGAAAATTTTACGGAATCGTGTTTTCTTCTAACATAGTACTTAACATTAATACTCAACTTTACCATATATTTATTTAAAAATTAATGCTGCAATAATAATCGGCATAACGGAGGATCTTGCTAAGCCATTTGAGGTAGTATTTTTAATATTTCCACATAAGAGCAGATTAATCTAAATTAGGTACGGTAAGAAATCGAAAGAACCAGGAGATGGACAGCTTCTTCCTTTTTTTTATAAAATAAGGTTGACGCATGAGCACACAGGCCACCTGATGTTAAGTGAACGCCATAGAAATCTTCATCTATCCTCGATTAAGAATCAAAAATGCAGATGCGTTGTCATCTCTGAGGACTAAAATGGAATGCCTTGTTTCCTGTGAAAAGGATCTACGATTCTCTTCGGCCGGCTTTCCTGATAACAACTAAAAAATAAAAAAAACTGCGATTTGAAAACCCGCCTGCCAAGCGTTGCAAGTATGGCAAATATCTTAATATTTGAGGGTAGCAGGTACGGTCGGCTGCGGACTTTTGCCACGCTGTAACAGTAAGAAAGAGAAGTAAGAAGAGAATCAGAAAAGCCTTACATTTCTGATTTCTTAGGTTCATTAATAATGAATCATTATTGTACACATTTGGATTGAAGACGACGGAATTTAAATGACTTTCTCTTTACTTATAAAAATCACTAACACGTGACCGTTTCGTATCCGTTACGTTAACGATGCTCGTAAATCGAATAGACTATTATATTATCTGAACGAAGATTCAATAGAGGGACAAAGAAGTGCCCCTGTTTTTGTGGGCCTCTATGACGATGTTTGTATAATGTTTTTTATTATGTCGTAATAATGTTATTTTTATTTGTTTATTTATTTATACGTTTATGTTCAAAGTAAGGGCCGTGTAGAGACGGTGTGAGAATATTCATATATAAATAGGTGTCTTAAGAGGCGTCAGAAGAAAACAA